GACACCATTAGGACAGTCACTATACTATAAGACAACAGTATGCCTAAATTCATTATGTTGCTTTGCTTGGAAGCCCTCTGCATTAACTTACTGTCCCCTGTGGCTTTCCGATAATGTACCTTCTGGAGCTGTTGACCTTTTTAACCAGAAAGTGACAGGACAAGTGGTTACAATTGATCTCTGATTTCTAAGTGTCAGAACATTTCAAATAGCGAAATCCCTAAAGAAAGCAAAAATATGGTCCAGGCAGATTGAGGCAGCTACGATCTAAATAAGAGCTGCTACAATATCTTTATTGACATGCCTATATGACATTTGTACATTTCCTTTGTGACTTCAAGTAAAGAATTTTAGCTTTTTAATGTCCATAATATGTATATTTCTGTTTTTTGTTTTTTAAATTGACTTTAGCTGAGTATTTTAATAAAGAGATCTGTCTTCATCTGGGATTACAGTTCTCTTTCTAATAAGCATAGAATTGAGACGCAAACAACGAACATGTACTATGCCTATCAGGTTTTGATTGTTGAATATACATTCACTTTTTCCACCTCTCCTGGGAAGAAATTCCATGCTTTATGGAGAGTACAACTTCCTGACATTTCTTCTTTGCATTACCATCAACATGCGTCAATGCATGACCTCTTGTTTAAGCTCTTATTCTGAGGAATCCACTTCTCTCCTCTCACATGTTGCATTGGAAATGTTCCATTATAATGCAATTAACATTACATTAAACAACAAAACCTTTCCAAACACAAAAAGAGATTATAACAGGAGCTGACAAATGTTTTTTTGGAAATAAGAGTGTTTAAACGAATTATAATACTAAAAAAATGAAACTAAAATCACGAATATCATACCAAAAAAATAAAAAGTCATGAAGCTAAAAAACAGTAGCACATTTTAGGCTTTTAATGGCCATACTGCTGTGATTACTAGCCTTTGTTTTGCTCTTGGCTATACAAATAAAAAAATGCAAAAAAAAAATCTGTCTAAATGCACAAAACTCTCCCCCCCTCCTAAAAAAACAATATTGACTTTGAAATATGTCTGCCTATTATGTGCCAATTTGTCACTGTCAAACCAGGAAAGAGATTCCAACAAGCAGAACCTAGTTTGACAAATGGACAGAGAAAAAAGTATAGAAGAGTATTACTGGCCCTTAAAATAGCTGAACTGATGCAATGCCTATATACGGTGAAAAATAGGATACCTGTGGCTTTTTTAGTCAGGAAAAGCCAAGGTCAGGGTAGACAAAAATCATAGAAAATCAGATAGCATGGTAAGTTAGCCAAAGTCAGTAACGGAGAGCATAATAGTACAGTGAACACACAACAGGACAAATAAAACACAATAAAGTGCAGTATTGAGGCCAAAGTGGCCTTTTATAACTTGTTTAACTAGTATCAGAAATAGCCTCCACTCTGCTGCACAGAATGACAGTCATGCGCACGCACAAAGGTGTCGATGGGTCCTGGGCACATATGGTCTCTGTTATCAGCTTCAAAAGCTGGACTGCATTAAAGTGAGCATTATTAAAAAACCTGCAGGCAATGAGGGATTGGACATTTGCAAGGTGAGTACCCATAGAATATACTCTCAAACCGTGAATAAACGGTGTTCTAAATAAATGTAAAAACAAAATATTGGATCTTTTGTGCATACAAAAAAAGTTGTGTTCCTAATGGCAGATGAAATTTAACGTAGAGAAATGCAAAGTTATGCACTTCGGGGTTAAGAATGCACAAGCAAATTACACATGGTAGTGAATTAGGGATAACCACACACGAGAAGGATTTGGGAATTGTTATAGACAACAAATTAGGCAGCAATATGCAATGTCAATCTGCAGTTGCTAAGGCCAGTAAGGTTTTGTCATGTATAAATAGGGGCATAAATTCTCAGGGTGAAAATATAACTATGACTCTTTATAAATCACTGGTAAGACCACACCATGAATATGCTGTGCAATTTTGAGCGCCTGTTCTAAAGAAAGATATCATAGCACTGGAAAAAGTCCAGAGACGAGCTACAAAATTGATAAAAGGAATGGAGCATTTTAGTTATGAAGAAAGGTTAAAAAAATTAAATCTGTTTAGTTTGGAAAAACGGGGCCTGAGAGGGGATATGATAACTTTATACAAATATATTCGGGGCCAGTACAAACCTTTATCTGGAAATCTATTCATAAACAGGGCTATACATAGGACACGAGGTCACACATTTAGGCTGGAAGAAAGGAGATTTCATCTAAGGCAATGAAAAGGTTTTTTTACAGTAAGAGCAATAAGGATATGGAATTCTTTACCTGAAGAGGTGGTTTTGTCAGAGTCACAACATATGTTTAAACTACAATTGGATAAATACTTACAAAAACATAACATACAGGGATATAATTTCTAATTAGTGGGGTAATAGCTGCTTGATCCAAGGAGACATCTGACTGCTATTTTGGGGTCAAGAAGGAATTTTTTCCTAGTTTGTGTCAAAATTGGAAGCGCTTCAGACTAAGTTTTTTGTCTTCTTTTGGATCAACAGCAACAACATATGTGAGGAAGGCTGAACTTGATGGACGCAAGTCTCTTTTCAGCTATGTAACTATGTAATCTGTATTCTAGATTTAATTAATTTACTACTTTCTTGCAATTACAGAACAATTAAGTGCATTATCTATATATATATATATATACATATTGATTCTACAACAAATAAATATGCAGGATTCAATTGTCTTAGACTTGAACATGTTTTAAGCTTGGTGCAACAACTCTATTACATCACAGCATGATAAATGTCTAAAAATAATTTGAAGCAGGATGTATATACACCCCAAGCTTGGACAAAAGGAGTATGATGGGACATAATTTAAATTTGTATTGAACGATTTATGTAAGTGACCTAACAGGTTCTTGCCACCATAAACACTCATTTATCTTTTAGGACTAATTAAAAGACAGTGTCATGCTAAAATTCTGCATTGGTTTTTTTTCCCCGGTAACTATGGATGTGTCAGTCATTTGGATGGGAAGTTTGCCAATGTGAATTGTGTGCCACTTCAAAGTAAAACATTTATAATAATATGGCTTTTGGGCTTTTTCGTTTCTGTTTTTTGTTAGTGTTATATAGGATTGATGAGACTTATTACACACCACCTGTTTCTTCTTTGCATGCTTGAAAATATCTGATTACAATGCAGTTTCCAAGGACAAGCCTTTCTGTTTATGACCCAACTTGACACTTTCAACCTAACACCACAATAACATAAGACTCAGACTTTCCATATTCATATATTCATTATTCACATAGCAGGTACTGTGGATGGCAATTATATTCCTTTGTTTTCCATCTCTGCCTCTTTTTTACATGATGTAATGGTCAGTAATGGTTGGGACATTCCGTTCAAGGGCCCTTTTCACATCCAACCTTTGTAGGTACTGTTG